ATGCCTTTGAGTTGTGGTGTTGGAGAATACTAAAAGTGCCATGGGCTGTCAAAAGAACCAATAGATCTGTTTTGGAAGAAGTGCAGCCAGAGTGCTCCTTAGAGTCCAAGATGGCCAAACTTTGGACATACTGTCGGGAGGGAACAGTCGCTGGAGAAGGACATCATGTTTGTTAAGGTGGAAGGTCAGAGAAAAAGAAGACCCCCAACAAGACGGATTAGCCAAGTGGCAACATCGATGGACTCAAGTGTGACAACAGTAGTGAGGTTAGCCCAGGATTGGACATTGTTTCGTTCTGCTGTGCATAAGGTTGCTATGAGTAAGTGCTGACTCGATAGCACCTAACAACAACAATTAATGCAGGGAAACAGACTATACTTGTGAAAGTTACTCTGAATTAAGCTATCAGAAAGCATAAAAAATACCAAAACACATACTCAATTAAGTATTAAGGCCACAGATAAAGATTCAACAATGTCCAAGAAGCAAAAGCAGATGACCATATGTCCAGAAACTAGACAAACACTTTACAATGGAGTTGAGAAAAATAAAGAGGAAGTCAGGAAAGTGCTACAGGAACTATCAAATAAGATAGATAGATACAGCATTGGAAACAATTCAAAACCTAACAGAATATCAGAAATAGACAATACCCCTAAGACAGAAGAACAAACAAAAAAGGATAAAGAATTATCAGTACTATTAATAACATGCTGAACTGTTTTCCATCCCTCCCATAACACTCTCTACTCCTTAGATGGGTGAGATAAATTCATTACAGAGGTCACCCAGAACACAGACACCATAGTCACAGTTACGGGGCACTGGCTCCATGGGTCAAGCAAACCTAGCTCCCCCAATTAAGTGCAAACTAGCCTCCTGCCCACCATCACTCAGCTATACTTGCTCTGTGGGATGGGAAGCCCACTGCTGTGTCTTCTGCTCTGACTCTTGACTCTGCTGCCACTTGTCTGGTGTCATTGCTCTCTGTCCCTGCATCATGGAACTGCTATGCACAGGTATGTCAGGGTCCAAGGGACATCCTCAACTCTTGGCTCTTCTTCTTTGATGGTAGTGAGAGCCTCCTTTCCTGCTTCTGAGTAGCTCATTTTATAACCACGCTAGAGTTTCAAATGTTTACAGTCACAGCGAACTCTGTTAACATCCAGTCAGCGCCTTCTCCCACCTTCTCTCTTACCCAGCACCAATAGGAAAATGTCGTTTGGTGGGAGTTACAGAGACTAAAGCTAGAAGAGACATAGTAACTAATTCACTACATCACAGATCTACTGGTTAAGTTATTAATAACTTCACTTTCAAAAAACTTGAAAAATGCTATTAGACCACTACAATTATATCTGTGATTCCCATTTCTATTGGACAGCACTCATTCTGTATGGCTGAGCCCTCATTCTGTATGGCTGAGCCCTTAATATACGTTGTGATCTGTAGCTTTTTTGGTACAAAGTAATAGCTATCCTCATTTGTGGAAGTTTAGGGTAAACAAAATAGGGATAGCCTGGCATTGTCCTTACCAGACAATTTAAACCCAATTTGGCCTCACACCCATCCCCAAGTGGTGATTTTTTTTTTTTCTTTTCTTTTTCAACTTTATGCTACAAGTACAGTTTGAGCTAACTGTGGGACTATTTCCTTTAGATGGTCAAGAGACATCTTTTTCTCCTTGAGAATTTTGTGTTTACCTGTTTTTTGCTTGTAAATGGATATGCCAGATGTTTTGGTAATAGATAAATGAGCAAGGTCTTTGCTGCTTACAAGGAGCCCATTGTAGTGCATGTTGTTTATAGAATCACAAATGCCAGCTGTGGTCCCAGGCCAGAGGGATACCGCAAGGCAAGGACATCCTTGGGCTTTAGAATGACTTAAGTTTCTGGAAAGAACACTAGACCCATTTACTGAGTTTGCTCTTTGGAGTGCTCTTACCTCCTGGAGAGAAGAGCTTTTGTTTTTACGAAAGGAATATAATCAATGTTTTCATTTGCTTTCTTTCAAATGTTAAGAATACCCAATGAATGGTACATACGTCAGTCCTCTTTTCTTGATGCACTGAACACCCTGCACACAGTTGAATAGTGGGTAGAGAGATGAAAGGGAGAAAGTCAAAATTAGGAATGTGCAAAATCATTACCTGTTCTTTAAAATTGCTGTTTTTTAGATTAATAAGACTAAGTGAGATAAAATTAAATACACAGCATCTAAGCACCTGATTCTTTTGGTTTTAATAACTATGCACATCTGGTTAGCATCACACACACATAAAGAACATTTCCATCCTCCCAGAAAGTTCCCTGTGTCCTGTCCCCTTCTCAATCAGTCCCTCCTTAGTCCTGAGATACATTTCCTACCCTCATCGATTAGATTTGCCTGCTCTTGTATGAATACGCTCCTGTAGTATGTAATATTTTGAGTCTGGTTTCTTTTGCTGAACATGTTTTGGGAATTGTCCACATTGGTCCATGTATCAGTTGTTGTAGGTGGCTTTGAGTCAGTTCCAACTCCTAGTGCAACAAAATGAAACACTGCCCAGTCCTGCGCCAGCCTCACAATTGTTGCTGTGTTTGAGCTCATTGTTGCTGACACTGCCTCAATCCATCTTGAGTCTTCTTTCTCACTGACCTTCTACTTTACCAAACATGATGTCCTTCTCCAAGGATTGGTCTCTCCTGATGACACGTCCAAAGTACATATAGACAAAGGCTTACCATTCTCAAAATCCGTTGTTAAATGTATCTGTTTAGAATGTATCCTTATCCTTATTTCTTTCTCCCATCTCCTGTTTTCCTGTTGATGAAGGTTCAGGTTGATTCTGATGATCTTTGACTGGTGTGGATGTCTGTTTTGAACAACTGTGTGCAAGTCCTTTTGTAGATGTATATTTTCATCTTCCGTGGCTATGATGTAGGGATGGGACTGCTAGGTCCTTGGGACCATTTGTGCTTTTTAAAATGGCTAGTGAATAGGACTGTAGCCATTTATGTCCTAGAGGTCAGAACAAGTGCTAATGACAGCAACTGTGAACATGTGACTCTAATTTCAGCCCAGAGATAATAGTTCTACCTAGTTTTCACAATACCCTAATCTAATGATCTCACTGAACTCCAACCAGTGTCAGGGAGATGGGCAAGGCAGGAGTGTCATCCACTGTAATGGGGGAGGGCACCTGGACTCAAGAGCTGAGGTGACTCACCCGCCTTCCTCTGGCTGCTGAGGGAAGAGCTGGTACTAGAACCCGAGAGTGCTGGTACTTGTTCCATTATCATTCCCTGGCCTTGTCTCCCCTGAAAGCCTTGCACAGCATAAGTTGGTGAGAAGAGGTTCAGGCGAACTTTCCAGGAAACACAAAGCCAAAACCCTTCACAAACCCTTTCATTGTCTCTCCAGTTGACGAGCCAAGATAAAACCCCAGCTGTGATCCAGAGAGCAATGCTGAAGCACAATCTGGACTCGGACCCGGCCGAGGACTACGAACTGGTGCAGGTCATCTCAGAGGACAAAGGTGGGCACATAGGCATCTCGTGGCAGGTTGCTTGCTAGCAGCATTCTTACGCTGCTCCTTAGTTCAAGAATTTGAGCAATTCCAATAGTAATTTCTCAATGTTTTAACTAATCATTTATGAGATGCTTTATCAGGATTGATCTCTAAACAGCAAAGCTTCTAACAACAGGATTTGAAGTTTCTGTACGTCGTGCTTTATTAAGCTCATGCTTATTTATGGGATGAGCTGGTGATCTAGGAATACAATACCATTGGGAACTATTTACAGAATTAATGTTTCTGACCTCTTTTGGTAAACACCCCTGACCATAGCAAGCATGTTTATGTAGGACTATGTCCACAAACAAACAGCCCTACTATAAATTTAGGAAAACAAGAATTTTTTTAAGTTGGGGCATGAGAAAAGAAGAGCAATGCATACTCTGGCACACCCCTAGAGGAGATCAGCTGTATTGCAAGCAGTATCCTTAAAATTTGTAGCTCAGTTGGAACAGATGTTAAGTGCCATTGAGTCAGTTACAACTCATAGCAACCCTGTAAAAAGGATTGCTGAGCAGTGGCTGGTGAGTTTTAACTGCTGACCTTGAGGGTTGAGTGCTTACCTACAGTGCCACTCCAGGACTTTTTTGCAAGAAAGGTTCAGACTTTTCAGTGATTTGCAAACTGCTTATGCAGCAAGTGAAGAATTTGTTGCATTCAATTGTTTCAAGTGAGGGTAAATTAAGACAGGGCTTCAAAGGTGCAGTGCCTTGCTCAAAGATGGTAGTCGATGGTGCTACTTTGAATGTGTGCGCTTCTCCACAGTTCTGCCCACAATCCAGTCTCACACATCAGGATTCTGAAAGGGCTCAGCCATGTCTCTTGTTCCCGGGCTTCATCAGTTTTCCTGTTCTGGTTACTGTGATGAGTCACTCATGTTGTAAAACTTCTGGTGTGTTTCTTTTTCACTCTGTTGTCCATGACAGAACTGGTCTGAAGCCTGGTCTTAAAGGGTATGTAGGACATTCTAATACAACGACTTCCTGTAGTACCTTCTCCTAGACAGGAAAAACGTACACCCTCTTGAGAAACTCATTTTTCAAATACTTCTTTCGAAGTTTTCCGATTCACTCAGCTGAGTCCCAGGATGTGGAGAAAAAACCCTCTCAATTATAAATGCCTTTTAATGTAATTCCTGTTAAAGTTCTTAGTCTGACACATCCTCTCCAAAATTTTTACCATGTTACACAGCAATGCCATGCAAGCTGAAGTTAGGCCAGTGGTGTCCTGAGGTGTAGCCTCCTCGCTGCTCACCAGCTGTGTGGTCTCAGACCAGCCACTTGATTTCTTGAGACCTTGGTTCTTGATTTGTGAAATGAAGGTAGTACCCTACTTGTTTCTTCATGGGACGATTGTGACGATAACAAGAAACTAAGTCATATACAGCTGTGAGGTAGAACGTTGCTGACTTGGGACAATGTAGACAGAAGCATCATCTGTTAAGGGTCAAGCTGTCCTCCCTCTAACAAGAGCCACTAAGTGCCTGGTTGCAGCCAGTCTTGCTTTGGAAGTTAACTGAAGGCTTAGTTAATCTGGGCCTCTCTACTGGTTGCCTCCCTCCCCCCATAGCCATTGCACATTTTATATTTTTCATTCACTGTTTTTTGTTTCTGTATTGAGGTACTCATGACCCTAGAGAAGTGGGTTAGGCATTGGGGTACTAACCAAAGGATCAGCACTTCAAACCCACCAGCTGCTCCTTGGGAGAAGTATGAGACTGTCGACCCTTGTAAGGATTTATATAGTCTCAGAAATCCTATACTGGGTAACTGCGAGTCAGAATTAACTATGGCAATGGGTTTGGTTTTTATCACCCTAGTGCTAAATAAATATTGTCACATTTTTAAAAATATAGAAGTTAACTAAAAATAACTATCCTGGAAATTGCAGATATCTGGTTGGGAATCATCGAAGTAGAGAACAGTTTAAACGTTAGCAGATACACATCGTAGTATATAGATGTTGTTTAAACTTTCATAGTTTGTATTGTTTGGTAAGTGCCATCGAGTCAGTACTGACTCATAGTGACCCTTGTATAGCGTTTCCAAGGAACATCTGGTGGGTTTGAACCACCAACCTTGTGGTTAGCAGTACAGTGTACTGACCTTACAGAAGAAGGAAACGTGGGTTCAAGTCTCAATTCTATTTACTAGCCGTGATCTTGGAATGGTCATTTAACATCTCTTGACCTTTGTTTCCTACTACATTTTCTCATAGCTGTATATTCTGTATTTGCACATTTAGTTCATGGTTTGAATTTTTTAAAGTCTTATTTATAAGCATTTTGTTGGGATTGAAAAGTTGTTGGGACTTTTTTTTTTCTTTTCTGCACTGGCCGTCTAGAGAGTGTGGTTTGAAGTAGTCAAATGACTAGTTCAGTTCAAATTCCAGGGACAAAGGACCATGATCCTAACTTATGTCTGGGCCAGATTTCCACCTGCAACTGTCACTGCTGGGCTGATTGCCTTTTTTTTTTTTTTTTCCAGAGCTAGTGATCCCGGACTCCGCAAATGTCTTTTATGCCATGAACAGCCAAGTGAACTTTGACTTCATTTTACGCAAGAAGAGCCCCGTGGAAGAGCAAGTGAAACTGCGTAGCCGGACCAGCTTGACATTACCCAGGACAGCTAAACGGGGCTGCTGGAGTAACAGGCACAGCAAAATCACCCTCTGAAAGAAGGGACCCAGCGCCCTTGCTTACCAAGGGCAGAGTGGAGCTAAGAATGGACAGTCATGATTACAACTACCAACCAGTGTTAAAGGATTGTTGGTGAAGTCTACAGATATTTATTAACTGTGTGCAAGGCCCAATGACAGCCATTGTGGGGAAATAGGAAATGAATTTGACATGAAGTGGGTCACTGATTCTCTTTTGACCTATTTGAGACTGGAATGCAAAATTATCCACATTATAAATATATATATTTGTAAATGTACATAAGTGTGTGTATATATCTATATCTACATAGATGTAGATATATACACACATGCCCATACACATATTTAGTGTGTGTATGTGAGAACTTTATGGGATATTCTGGACTGTGGAAACAAAATTTGCACAATGGCCTGTGTGCATTAGGTCACTTTTACAGGGAAACAAAAAGGAACTGAGAAACCTAATCTCATACCTTCTAAGAAAATGGAATTGCTCCTAGGATTACAGCATGTCCTTTGTGCCAGTATTATAAGAACTCCAAACTTTGAGAGGAATACTTAGTCAGGTGCCACCAGAAAAGAACGACTGCAGAAACTGGACCTGCCACAGGCTGAATGAAAGGCCACTTTGAGAAGGGCTTGGATGAGCCAGTGGCCTTCAACCTCTGCCCGCATCTGCCACGTTCTGCTACCCCAGGAGGAGCATCAGTGGGCACACTCAGCTCCCCTGGAATCATCACAGCCCATCTTGAGCACCAACAACCAACGTCGCATTCTGTTTCCCCATCTTACAGAACATATCACAATCATCAGTGCACAAACATCCATGTTCTTTCTGGGTACCTTATCAGCCAGAACAGAAACGCAAACGAATCCTGAAGCATTTTAGACTCTCCTATATCTTGGAATGCCACTACTTCCTTGCCTTTTCCGAATGCCTTCTGCATGTAAAAGAATAGTATCTGGAGTCTTTAGCCATCTGGATCATAGTACCTCTTTATTATGTGCAGTGTGTTCCTCAGGTGTAGAAATTTCTACTGCAACTGACTATATTTGATCAACTTTGAGCCTATGAAAGATTTCTGAACATTAACTGCCCTTTGTCATAGTCCTTTTGAAGATGATGTTCCCTGCTGATAGCAGTGTCCTGTTTTACTTCTTAACTTTTATAGCATTACTGTGCCTCATCATGGGGAAGAAATGGAGTTGCCCGATTATCTAAATCCCTCCTTAAAGAGGTATCTTCTTCCAGATGGAATCAATAACTTTTTTTTTTCAGGTCCCCACACTTGCTAGCACAGTGTCACTTTCATCGACATTTTAAGCTATAGTAACACCATTATACTCTCCCTTCCAAATCTGAGCTGTGCTGGGGACTTGAAATAAAAAGCCATATGTTGGGACTTTGACAAGTTTAAAAAAGCACTTTCAGGATATTGTCCTAAGGGAAAAAAAAAATTCTGAAAATACCAGTTTTTATTCAAAATACAAGACAATGAACCCAGATTCTGAAGTGCAAATTGCAACATGGAACTTCTCCTTTTTTTTTTTTTTAATAACTGTAATACAGCTCCCAAAATTGTGTGGGGTTGATGCTACACAAATAGCCATACGAAATCTACCAGAAACACCAGGGAAATTTTAGAGACTGTGGCAAAGGACCAAAGAATGAGCCAGAAAGACCTCAGATTTCCTTTAGGTCTTTTTAGGAGATCAGAACGTGGGTCACAAAGGTAACACCTGGTCGTGAAGCACTTTCCTGTTTGCCAGGCTAGTCCTGCTCATGCTTCTGCATGTGGAGCACGAGACAGCCAAGGAGCAGACATCTCAGAGTGGAGTCACATGTGGCCTCAGCCTGGTTTTTTGTTGTTGTTGTTTGAAGGTGAAAAGCAAGATAGAGAACAGCCTAGTTTGGGGTGTGCCTACCAAGACATCTGTGTTGCGTCCATGTGCTGGCCCAGTGTATTTATACTGTATATGTAGAGTCTAGATTTATATACTGCAATGTACAAAAATATACATATATATATTTTCCTTTTTTAAAGACAATGGAAATTACAAGTAGATAAAAAATAGCTTCGTTTATTTAATGCCATTTTAAATATCTTAAATTTATTTCCTGGTGGACAGCCGGGCCATGCTTTTAGCTGCTCGCATGCTTGTCTTTCTGTATCTCCATCCTGTTTACCTTTTGGTTAAATTAATAAACTGGTTTGGGACATGGTTGGCATTTGCTACCAGACCCAAAGTGATTATATCTCGACTATTAATTAGATGATTTCTGGGCTCCAAATGTGCCACTAAGCTTTCTTAGAGACACTCTGGTTGATTGGTGGGAACAGAGGGAAAGCCAGTGTCCATGTCAAAAGGGGAACCTTCTCTCTGCCTACTTTCTCCCAGCATTCCTCTCATTCTCGGACTGCTGCCCTCTGTATGTAGTTCTCAAAGTCATTGTGGGTCTCCTCCTGAAAGTAGGGGGATGGCTATGGACCGAGGAGAGAAAGAAGGGTGGTTGCAAATGGCTTCAAACAGAGGCAGGTTTCACTCAGTAGACATGTAAAAAAACATTGTAGTTGGAAAATGAGCTAAATAGAGGAGGTGGGCCCTGAGGGAAGAGAATTGGCTACATGTTTAAAGAATTCACTGATCAAATAAATTGTCACTTTATAGCTTTATAGCAATAACACTTGTTGACATTTGTCATACTGTTTCCAAAAAGTTAATGAGATTTATTGTTCAGTGGATTCTTAGCTGGACCCAAATTATCAAATTTTCTGGGGACTTGGATTTTGTAAAGACCCAAATAGGTATTTTAAATAAAAGGAAACTGATAGTATGTAAGGGAGCAGGAAAAAGAAGAGTTTTTTATCTTTGGCATTAGGTGACTATTTTTCAAAAACATCCTAGAAAACAGATTCCCTTGTTTTCCGCCTGTCTAGGAACTGGGGTGGGTTTCTAGACCTACCTGCAGGGTTATCTTAAGATTTCCTTCTTTGGAATACTTTGCAAATCTTCACGTAACAAAGGGCTGATAGTGATAAGAAACCTGTTGCGATTTCAACTGTGTCAAGGTCCCCAACCTCAAACGTCTTTCTTTCTCATGCCTACAGTTCTTCTATGAGAAATTCATTTCCATTGTAGTTTGCATTTCCCCTAGAATCTCTCTTCATATGAAATAACCTCTGGAAGGACACATTCACCCAGCTAAACTAGGGGGATCATGGGCCCAGGCAGGCAGCTTCCATCTTGTAACCCTACCACCTCTGTTTTGTGCTTGAAGTCACAGTGATGGTAAAGAGCGTGTGGTGAACTCGACAAGTGTTCCTAACTTCCTCAGATCAAAGTGGTACTTGGCCATTGCTCAGAAGTAGTCACATGGCCCAAGTTTGAGTACAGGGGAGACTGGAAAATGTAGAACAGTTGGAATAATAATTGGTAAATGCTTATGTCTTCTTACTAGGGTACAAAAAGTTTTTGGAAGAGATGGCAGTAAGGACTTGAGATGGGGGCTACACAAAGCTAGAAAATTAGAAGAGAGGTGCTCAAAGGTGGAGACAATACCAGAAAGAATGATTTGACTTTATCTGCAATTAGCCTTAATAGAATTTCAATTTTTTTCAGCATGCAGTCACCTCCAATTTATATGCTTGAGTCAGAACCAACTCCAAAATAACAACAGTAGTCCTGGTTCAAGCTTACCAGTTGCTCCTTGGAAACCCTTTACAGGGTTCACTAAGGGTCGAAACTGACTCGACGGCACTTAACAACAGAGTAAAGTCATTGGACAATCTCTTTGATATCCCATACAAGTAAAGTTTGACTAAAGGTAATACAGAAACGGCTGCAAGCAGACATTGCCAATAGAACTTCCAGAGGTTCAAGCTGGATTCACAAGAGGCCGTGGAACGAGGGATATCATTGCTTCTGTCTGATGGATATTGACTGTACATGGACTTACTGCAGTTTGTTCCAACAGAACATGGGAACACTGAATGGTTTCAAATTAAGAAAGGTGTGCGACAAGGTTGTATTCTTTCACCATATGTATTCAACCTGTATGCTGAGCAAATAATCCAAGAAGCTGGGTTAGATGAAGAAACACAGTATCAGGATTGGAAGAAGACTCATTAACAACCTGTGATATCCAGATGATACATGTGATATCCAGATGATACAAACTTGCTTGCTGAAAGTAAAGAGGATTTAAAATATATACTGATGAAAATCAAAGACCACAGCCTTTGATATGGATTGCATCTCAATGTAAAGAAAACAAAAATCCTCACCACTGGACCAATAAACAACATTCTTATCAACGGAGAAAAGATTGAAGTTGTCAAGGACTTCATTCTTCTTGGATCAACTATCAACACTCACGGAAGCAGCAGTCAAGAGTTCAGATGTCGTATTGCATTAGGCAAATCTGTTGCACACGACCTTTTTAAAGTGTTGAAGAGTGAAGATGTCAGCTTGAGGAGTAAGGTGCGCCTGACCCAAGCCGTGGTCATTTCAATAACCTCATATGCATGCGAGAGCTGTTCAATAACCTCATATGCATGCGAGAGCTGGACAGTGAGTAAGGAAGACCATAGAAGAATTAGTGCTTTTGAGTTATGGTGTTGGAGAATATTCAAAGTGCTATGGGCTGCCAAAAGAAGAAACGCTTTTGTGTTGGAAGCAGTGCAGCCAGAGTGCTCCTTGAAGGCCAGGATGGCCAAATTTCATCTCTCACACTTTGGACATATTGTCAGGAGGGACCAGTCGCTGGAGAAGGATACCATGCTTGGTAAGGTGGAGGATCAGAGAAAAAGAGGAAGACCCCCAGTGAGATGGATTGGCAGAAAAAAAAAATCACGGGCTCAAGCATGGGAACAATTGTGAGGTTGGCCCAGAACCGGGCAGTGTTTTGTGCTGTTGTACATAGGGTTGCTATGAGTCGATACCGACTCAAGGGCCCCTAACACTAGCAGAGTCCTGGAGTCCTCGTATGGCACTGTGAGCTAATGCACTAGACCGCAAAGTTGGTTTGAGTCACAAGGTCAGCAGCTCCAGCTCACTAGCTGCTCCTCAGAAACCCTATACAGGGTTGCTATGTGTCAGAACTAACTTGACAGCAGTTAACAACAATGGAGTCCTGGTGTGGTG